ACTTTAAATATTGTAAATTTACTTTCATCTGAAAAAATTACATTGTTCCAGAAGTCCTGCGAAGAGTTTAAATATGTTTTGGCAAAAGCAATTCTTTTCTTTCTATTTGTCTCGGAAATGTATGGCTTAAATCTAGGTTTGCGTCCATGATAATCGGACTTTCGCAGCACTTTTCGTACAGTTTCAGGAGAAATTTCCTTGATGCTAGTTAAAAAAAATGTCTTTTGCAATGCTTGCAGCAGAAAGTTTAGGATTTTGTTTAATTCGTAAAAGAATTTTTCTTTCTTCTCTCTGCGTTAGCTTCTTCGGTCTCCCACATCTTGGTTTTACAGCAAGACTACCAGTGTCAAGATAGTTTTGAATAACTCTTTGCAAACTAGAAAATGGTTTTCCAATGGTTTTACCAATATAACGAAGAGTTTTACCTTCATCTCTCAATTCGATAATTAGTTGTCTCGTAACTAAAGGAATTTCTTTATTGGTTGTCATTTTCGTCAAAGAAAAATAGAAATAGCAACTTCCAATCAACGTGAAACTTTCTTCGGAAGTCAATGACCTTGAAAGTGTAATCTTCTTTGCATTCTCAAGTTTCAAGTTTAAAAGTTAGATAAGAAATCCCCCGCCTCCTTCGCGTTGTACGCAAACTTTATTGGCTTTGATTTCTGGCCAGTTATCTTTTAAAAATTAGTGTGCATAAATTATTAGATATGAAAATATTACAGTTAAATAATTTCAAAGTCCCTTATTGAAACTAAATATTTAAAAAATAAAACTTAAAGAAACTACCCTTTTCGCACCTTAAAATTTTGACTTGATATTACTTTTCTTGATGTAGGCAGACTTTATTGACTAACTGTACATGCGTGAATTATGTGTCTTGGATATGGCGAATAAACCAAACAGGAAAGTAGGTGGATCAGATTGCATTGTGGAAATTGATGAAAGTTTGTTTACTAAATGTAAAAATAATTTTAGTCGACTATTACCCGAACAGTGGGCGTTTGATGGTATATGTAGAGATACAAAAGATTTAATTTGTTGTCACTGTTCTTAACAGAACCCTTCTTAATACCTCTACCCTTCTTAATAAAATTATTGTAAACACTGCAGATGGTAGCACAACTGCATTAAGCAGAGTTCATATGGCGAGAGCATCAGGTCAAAGAAAATAGAGACTGTTCTGAATCTACGTTAAACTCTATATCGGTGCATTTTCTACCGAAATCCCATTGACTACTTTGATTTTAAATAAAATGTTTTAATTTATGATTTGTCGCAAAAATTTTAAGTGTAGATTGATGGCACTTAAAAACCGCCAAATTTGAAGCTGCGGTGGCGTTAATACATAAGTACCGGATTGGGTTATTTTTTTCGTAAATACTTTGTAAATTCATTAATAATAAGTTTTAGGAAAGTTGATGAGAATAGTGAAGCGACTCAAGAAAATTGTTCGGATCACCATGGAGATCAGAAATGAGATTGTTCAAAAGTTTGAAGAATGGCATGCATATCCGGAACTTCGCTATTGCATACCTTATGCCAAGTATGTTAGTGTCTTCAACTGTGAAAGGCAAAGACGCTATTAAATTGGCTAATGTTGCGAAATCGATTACCAAACAAAGATCAGACATGTAACAGCATGCTGAAAAGTTCCTTTTCACCTAGTTAGTAAAAGAACATTTATACCCAGTATCATGTTCAGTGTTTCATTTACAAACAATATATGTTTCAGCTGCTGAATTTTTAGTATTAAACAGTTTACAGTAATAAAAGTAGGATTTTTTTTATAAGAACAAAGTAACTATTTTCAATTTATTCGAAAAGTTCGTTTGGTATACATCGAAGGATCTGGAACAGATTAATGCAGTATATCGAGGTACCGCTGTACATGAAAAGTCATTCATGAAAAACGTTCAAACCACAAAAATATGTATTTTTTTATTTAATTAGCTGCTGATGGTATTCTTTTGGTTCACAAACGAAATGCTTTCACAAATGCGAGTTTGCTAATAATTTACTGTGAATATGTTGGCCAGTCAAAGGTTTTTATTTTATAGCTAAAGACTAAAGCATTGATGGCCGAACGTTTTATCATTGATGTACAATTGTAGTGATAAGTACTCGCAAATATACAGCTTAGATAGAAATTAACTTAAAAACTGAAGTTCGTCATTAGAAGATTTTTTTTAAAAGGACTGAGAGGAAATATGGATATTTGCAGTAGGCCAATACATTATGTTTGTCGAGTACAAAAGGAGAGTGAAAATGTTTCCAGAAGGAACAAATGCATTAATCATTGTCGATTAAATTAAATGATTAATCCAAAATAAATGGATTGTAGGATTTTCCAACCTAAAAAGGTAACCAGAAGAAACATTTTTCATTACTATTAAAATGATTATTTAGAAATGGTAAAACAAATGTGATTTAAGAATAACTGTTGATACTCAGAAAAGCTTAAAATTCATATACCGTATATACCCGCATAAGTCGAGATATTTTGGACAAAAAAAAAAAAAAAAAAAAAAAAGACTTCAAAGTGGGGGGTCGACTTATACGCGGGGCTATAAAAAATTAAAAGAATCGGAAGTTCAAAAATTTCTTTATATAATGCAGTTGTTTTCTTCCCGCACTCAAATTGGACGACTTATCAAATAAGTCACTTACTTGAAGTAATTTCATGACTTAAGTTATGTGACGAACTAATCACAGAGTTTCATACTTTAACTAGAGTAAGTTTCGATTAAACCAAAGAATTTTCAGCCCCCGAACAACCGATCAATATAGAGCAATAAAAAAGTTTCGCCAACACGCCAAGAAAAGAGAAATGCAGATAGTTTTTACGTACGTATAAGTCTTTATAATAGTTATTGTTCATTCATGAAATACTTTTGTTAACAGGCGTACACGTCTAGTAGTGATTGTAGCAAATACAGAGTTCGAGACTTAAAATATGTATGATGACGAGCCAATGACGACAGAAGAGTTCTATGAAATGTTTGGCGAATCTGACCATGAATCGGACGTTGAAGAATTTTGATTTTGCTTATTTACCAAGGTATTTTTTATCGTATATTTACTTTTTTTTTCTCAGATGATTTTGAATAAATGTAATACTTAAAAAATTTTTTTCTAAGTTTCTCGATCGATTTCGGAAGTGGGGGGTCGACTTATACGCGGTTTTTTTTATTTTCTACGAATTTTTTATGTCGAAGTGGGGGGATCGACTTATACGCGGCGCGGTATCGACTTATACGCGGGTATATACGGTAATTAGATTTTAAAATATAATCAAGCAAAAGTAACTGATTAATTTGTGTATTAGTTTTGTAAAAGAGAAAAATCGAATAGTTTGAAAACAAACTAAGAACTAACTTTGGAAGCTGGCAATCAATTAGAATTGTAATCTAACGCTTCAGGCCCTTACGAAAATACTTTATCCATTAAAAAATAAAAAAAAAAAAAAAAAAAAAAAAAAAAAAAAAAAAAAAAAAAAAAAAAAAAAAAAAAAAAAAAAATATCAGGTTATTGAATTCCAAAAAGGCAATAAAGAATACTTGATTTACGCTGAATGAGAAAAGGGTTTTCCTTGGAAAATATCGACGCTTTTCGTGTATTATAATACTGCAGAATTAAATTTCCTGTGTTGGACATTGTAGTACTGGAACTCATTGACTGAAATGAAATAGCTATTTAATCAGCAAATAACTCTGAAAGGCTGAATAATATTTTTTCCAATTTCCTCCTAGATTCGTATTATTGAAAGAAGTAGACTGATTTCATCACTTTGAACAGACGGAGAAGATTTATCTATCCTTTCCAAAAACAGTTTTCCCCCTGTATTTTTCCAAGTTAAGATTATAACTGCAATGGTTAATTTTCTATTATCTGAATAAATAATTTGATAATATTTGAAAATGTGTAATCCTCTTGAGATATCAATATTGGTACGAAATGTCCAGGCGCGGTAAGAAAGCTTTCCCGCAAAGCTGGTTTAGGGTTGCCATAAAACGGCAAAAAGAAGGCAGGGTTGCCACATTTGGCGAGAAATCGCCCATTTGGCATCAAAATCAGCAATGTGCCATGGACGGATGGAGAACCTTCTGGAACGAATTCTTACCGGGTTTAGCCCAGAATGTTCTCGAACACAAGCCGAAAGCTATATAAACCCTGCTGGTCCGCAGTGCGAGAGAGTGTGCCTCGTCTAGCGAGCTGATAGTCAGTCATTGAGCGAGTGTCTCGAAGTCTAGCGCCGAGTTGGTCGTCGAGTGCATCGAAGAGCCTCTTAGTGTATCGCGGTTAGTGCATCGTCGGGAGAGCGTGTTGAGCTCCGGGAACAACTGAACCGAAGAGTCGGGAGCCGTGCTCTGTGTGTCGTCGAATGCATCCCGAGTTGTAGCGTGGAGAGTCTCGAGAGTACGTGGAGTTGCGTGAACGATCGAGCAGAGTCGGGAGCTGTACTCTGGTGCTTTGCAGTGAAGGTCTCCACCGTTACAGCCTGATAACCTAAAGGCTGTGTCGCTGATTGTGTCAGCGTGTTTATGGTAGTTCTTCGACGACTGTAACGTGATTTTGGAGCTGTCCTGATTAGTACTGGCTATATAAAGTGTTTTGATACTTCATCAAGTGCTGTCGTCATTACACTCCAAATCCTCACGAACCCTATACGAACCTGGTGTCAGAAAAAAAAAAAAAAAAAAAAAAAAAAAAAAAAAAAAAAACGCAATAATATTATGAATCTGTTACTACAATTAGATAGTAATAATAGCTTCTATTTAAAAAACAATATATTATATATAAATAGCATAACTTACATTACTAATTTTTATAAATTGATGAGTGAAGCTATAGATATGCATATCATGGGAACAGCGAATTTCAGAAAAGTAATATGTACACTACCTGCATATATTTTTAATTTAGGACCAAAAATTATTATTAAAATATAGTTAAAACTCATGTCTAGCAAATAATATTGTGATATGATAAAATAATATGCGTAATAGCTAAAATGTTTAATAATAAAAATTTGAATAAAAAATTAATCTTAAATAAATTAGTACATTTCGGTTGAATCACAATACACATTCAACAAAACATTTATATTTTATGCTTTGGAGTTATTACATATTTCAAAGAAAAAATTTAAAAAGAAGTCAAAATATTTTTTTTCAATTCCACTGGAATTAAATTTCTACTCAGTAAAAATGGAAACAAGGTTTACTTCACAGAACAAGGAAAGAATGATATTTTTAATATCGTAAATTGCATTTTTATTCTGTTAAAAACCATTTCTGGATCTCTGTACCTTTTGTTCTATATAAAAACTTCTCTTGAAGTCTCTTTGATTGGCCTTCCGAAAAATGATTCCGCCAATCTCCAACTATTCCTTTTCTGACAAGGTTCCACTTGCGAGCTTCTCGAGCTTCTGATATTGGAATATATGTCTTCATATACTCAAAACTACTAAATTTCGAAATATTCCGCAAGACTGTACTATCCTGTTCAATTGCATCGATATATTCCTTGCCAAGGAATTTGGCAATTTTAATAATTACCTCTTCCGTATTTCTCTTCATATCCTCGTACGTGATGTAAAATATATTGCTTTCATTACGATGAGGATACCATGACATTAAATGGTCAAAATAATCGTTATATATTACCTCGCCACCCATGAAAAGTTCGAAGAAATCCTCGAATTCAGCATCTCCGTACTCAAATCCAGGTTTACTTATAGTATGGTAATATAAGGATGTGCAGCAGTCTTTAGGATTTCGCGCAACGAAGACGTATTTGGCAGCAGCGGAATATGGCATGAGTGAATAAGGAAGATGAGTCTTCAACGCGCCAGGTCTTGGCATAGCAAATATCGCTTCTGTTCCCACTGCATCAAGGAAAGGACATAGTTTGTGGAAATCTTCTTGGCAATCTAGTTCACGACCTTTCCGAAAAATGTACAAGATAATGGTTTGCATCCACGTTGTCCCACATTTTGGATAAGTGACAATAAAAACATCATCTCTCTTTGGTTTATAATTCAGTGCTTCAGTGAAATGTTTAAAAGAGAAACCGGTTGGAATTCTTATACCATACAGGATTTGATACTTAGGTTTCTTGGTAACATTAGCCATAATCTTTTCAATTCTTGTAACCACTAGATAATAAAATAGGAACTAGTAATATTAATATTGCACATAAATAAACAATAGATATGTAAAAACACTATATATTGCACTAATATTGCACTATGCCATATTTTTTACCTTTTAGTGAATATTTTAAGTATTATATTATAATTCTATAAAGTCTGACAGGTTGGGATTATTGTGTGCACAGGTTTTCAAAAAATCATTGAAAATTATCAAATCTTGTAAATTTCTCTTAAATGTTAACAAATTTCAGAAGTTGAACGCTTTCCAATGAAATTCCTTCAATTTTTATCTCTGATTTCGTTCATTCCTGATAACATGTAGAGTCTACTTTAACCGTTTCCTGAAGTCTTTGAAATTTTTTCTTTAATTTTCATATTACAGAGGCTGTTCGCACATATTTTACACGGTTTTATTGTATTTACATAACTATTTTACCTAAATATTTGTGTTTTAAATGCTCTATTTGGTAACCCTTATTCTTTACTATCTTTGTACAGCGTAATTTTGAAGACAATTAAGCCTTTTTTTGTATCGAAGCCTTTGCTGTACCTTTTGTTGTAGAAGTATTTTATACCATTCATCTTTCCAAACAGCTTTCCAAAGTCTAAGGAGTGTTGTAAATTGACGTTTGGACAATCCGCTTTTTTAAAAGTCCGAAAGCGCAAACATCCATGAGTTAATTATCAGGTGGTTTACTAGGCATATAAATGAAGGGTATAACCTTGATACGCGTTTCTTGTTTAATCTTTTTTCCAGGAAATTAACAGTGGATTTTGACGTGTGGCAGCTTGCTTTATCTTGATGCAGTCCTGCTGATGGATGGCATTGTGGGTAACGCGAAGATATTTCATATTTGAAAATTGGGTAAAAATATGTTCCTGATAACATGTAGAGTCTACTTTAACCGTTTACTGAAGTCTCTTTAATTCTTATTTGTCGTTATAACAAGAACCAACAACAATCATAAACCCCTTTGAAAACTTTCTTCAGATATTTTTGAGCCATTTTTAAGATTTTTGTCTTCTCTTTGAACATAAATGGATTTCTTTTCTTTGCATCATTTAAATACACCCAAGATTAATCTGTAGTAGCAATATTTTCTCATTTTTATGTGGACAAATGTTTCTCATGAAGAATTCTGCAACGCGTTCTATATTCGGTGATATGTCGTGTAGAAAGACGATGCGCATTATATTTTTCCGCCCTAATCAGATTCAAATAGACATTAATTATTTTGTTTCCAGTTGACACTTAGCATTTTAACGATTTTGCAACTCTCCTTGGCGGATTTCTTTTAATATTAAGGATCTTACCTTTGCAATATTCAAAACACTCTTTTTTCCCCTTGGATATGTGTTTGGAACAATTTTTCTCCTTGAAGCCAAACTTTGACGTTTTTTCCCTTTCTTTTTGATAGTTTTACCTATCGAAAAACCATGGTTTTCACAGCTTTTTTTAATAAATAGATACGAATAATTTTCTTCGAAAAGAAGCCAAACATAGCTTTTCCTCCATTGCTTCTTTAAAAGTGACATTTTGCATGAAAACAAAACTGTCAAGTAGCAGGCGATAATTTGTACTTTCAAAAATATAGTTGTAGTTAAGCAGAAGATTTTTCTTTAGAGCAAAGCAAAATCGTCTAAAAAATGTGCGAACATCCTCTGTAGAACATCTCGATTTTTCTGAATGATAAGCTGTCGTTCAATAAAAGTTTTTAAAAAGTATTTGTTAAATTCTGCACGTTTAATAAACGTTTCTTCAGTAACCGTTTTGTAACTAAAAAAGAGTTATTATTTGTTAAATTCTGCAAATTTCTCTTAAATTCGTTTCTTATTAAAAATATTTGTTAAATTCTGCGTATGGTTCAGAATTTAACAAATACTTTTTTTAATTCTTTACAGAATTAATTATACGTTACTTGCAAGCAGCTGATTCGACTTCTATCTAAAGAAGTAACACAAGCCATGATGAAAGTTCAAATAAAAGTGTTCATTATCAGGTTGACTTGAGGGTTACACAACTTGAAAGAAGTTACAGGAAAAGAAAATTTGCTATAGACTGTTGATTAAAATAGGTATTTCAAGGTGACAAAGACTCTTCCCTCATTTACGAACTTAATGTGCGTCATTATCCCCACACAGAGGGAATTAAGTGATTTTAACAAATTAAGAGACTCGATATTTGTTTCCGTGTTATGAAGCATAGTTCGGGGGAGAAAATTGCCTTGAAGTGTTTAAAGTAACAGACTATAGCTTGCTGATAGAAAAACACAGCTCAAAGTAAGACGAAATTAATATACACTTTAAAATCTATATTATGTATGAAGTGCTGCATTTAAAAACCATATTCTACACATTTATAGAAACATTAATTTTAACGTAAGAAACTAGTTTTCATAGTTTTAGATAAGACGTTCCTAATGATACCTTTTTTGAACCTGCATATACTACTACATTTTTTTACTTATCTAAATTGTTTTTGTTTAATTTCGATAGAATCAATTTACTTCGAAATAAATAATATTCGCGTTATTAAATGTTTTTGAATCTCTTTTTATTTTCTGCATTGAAATTATAATCAAAATGCAAGTTCTTAAAGTTTTTTAACATTGATTTAAATAGACTAATTCCGGGTTAAATGGGATCTCTCATTATGTTAGTAGAAAAAGATAAATTTCATCTTATATTTGAGTCTCGACGAGTCTTTCTAGTCTTTGAGTGATTATATAAATAAATCAGCGACAATTCTGCTGTTAAAGACAAAAAAAAAAAAAAAAGTTCTCAAGCAATCTGTTAATTATTTTTTATAAAAATTAAAGGAAAAAAAAAGAAAACAGTACAGATGTGAAATCAAAATAATTTTCTATTACTAAAATACAATTTTAAAAACACCTACCTTTTTTGCGGTTAGTAGATGTTATCGCTTTGTCGGCTGTTCTATGAATAATGACTAAATGACAATGGGAACCAGTTTTCAAAGATAAAAATGTCTGATGTGGACACCGCATGATTTCCTTGTACGCCTACTAAATTATATACGTTTATTTCACTTCATTTAAACTTATTTCCCTGAATTATTCTAACTTAATTTAACCGACTCCTCAGTACAAGTTCAAAATGACGTCAAAAACTGCAAATTTTTAAATTAAATATCTCAATTAATCTTTGTCGTAAGGAAGTCAAATTTCTTATATCGATATTTTTTTCATAACGAGTATGAAACTATCCCAAATATACGTATAGGAAACGGGAGACCGCATTAAAAGTTAGATCTCGCTATTTGTTGAAAATTACTTTTTTAAAATTTGATATTGCCAAAATATAACTATCTTCGTCATTTAAAATACTTCCATAACTAGGAGTAAGACCAGGGTGTGTACATATACATATGTATATAAATCGTTTTTGAGTTACATGCATATATATACGTTACATGCATATACGTACGTATATGAGTTTTTGAGATACATGCATATATACGTTTACGTGTAAACGTCACGAAAAAATCCCTTTTGAATCCATTTTACCATTTATTTTTGGAAAAACTGCGTTCTGTATTCTATCCAAATATACAGTCGTCACACACGCGTGCAATCGAAAAAAATCGCCCAAATGGATTCGGGAATGATCAAAATGGATATTTCCGTTATGATACCCGAAATGCTTGGTGATTACAATACTTTCTTTGTTTCAAACAAAGTCCTGTGCACACATGCCAAGAACGCTGGAAATAATTGCAGAATTTTCAGTATTCAGCTCAAGGAAACTTTGGGTAGAAATAAAGTTAGCTACTTTGGATACAAACAAAGACAGCTGCAATGTTCTATGAACCTTTTGAAATTGCTGGTTAGTGTAGCTTTCAATTATTTAGTGACCGAAGTAATTAAATCTGCTTCTTTTAAACAGACAAGTGAAGTCAGGAAATCTTTGCCTGTATTTTAACCTGCTTTAAGATCTCATCTTTTATCTCTACATAATTTATAATTGCTAATGAGAACTGCTTGATTTGCTGTCATTAAAAATATATAATGAGTTTAGAGATGAAAGCAGCTTCAGATTGCAGATTCTAAGCCAGTGGTTTTCTAACTATCTTCTACAGAATTCTTAGATTCCATCAGCCCTTCTAAGGGTATTGCAAGTCAAAATTCTAGCTTTTGAATTCTGAATACCCATTTTGAATTTTGCTCAAAGATTTTTTTAATAGCACGACAACCGCAAAACTAAGCACCTATTTTAGATGTAAATTAATTAAATGATATTTTATTTCAATTGTTATTGTTATCTAAAGTAATATGAATCAGATTAGTTTTAATGATTGAAATTTTAACAAAATTATGATTTTCGTTTCGATTTCCATATAAAGTACATATAGTATTCATATACTTTCAATCTCTAAATATTCACTGTAGAATGCACCCTTCTGAGTTCAGAAACAATAAAAAGTACCTTTAAATGATCAGATTTAAAGCCTGTCGAACACATTTGCTAAAGAATGAAATATAAAATTCAAAAATGCAATATTTCCTGACCCAGAAGTAGAAACTTCTAATACAGGATATATTATGGTGCATTATTACGTCACAAATATCAAGAAGTCCGTTTAAGTCCATACTGTCAATATTAATCTGTGTTTTAAAAGCTTGCATGAATCCAAGAAAATATTAGCAACAATTCAAAAAGTACACTTTTTTCATTTGACAGTCAGTAAGTTTTTAATCACTTTCGTGTGCGTTATTTTTTTCTGTAATATATATTTTACTGCTTATATTCAATTTATTATAATTTGTTTTTATAACATAAAAGCCCAAAATATTTAGGAAAAAAATTAAAAGTTATACTCAAGATTATAATTTTACTTTCGTTGTAGTCATTCATTTGAGTTATTATGATGCTAGGCATTTTGTTCGATGAAGGTGATTATTATCAACTTATTTTCAACAGAATATATCACAGGATGATGATGTAAATTAAATATTTCCTTCTTAACTTCAAATCATTATTCTATCTTATGTGATATGATCCACTTAGCATTGTCATTCAAAAATGTACCTAAAAAGTATTAATTTTTTTATTACAAAAACTGATTGTGTAGACGAAAATGCATTTCTCTGATGTGTATTTTATCAACTACATATCGATATTTTTGAAGTTTCTCCGTCTCGTTCTTCTTTTAAATTTAAATATAACATTTTTATTCTTATCTATTTAAGGAGGATGGAGCTTAGCATATATTTTTTCTTCCTTTTTGAAATAATTTGAATACTATGCAAAATAGTCTTAGCATGATCTAAAAATTTAATACTTAATATAACACTGAAAAGAATACGAATTAATTATTAAAGGATACTTATTTCCAGGAGAATGTTAGAAATCTATTTTTTTCAAATAATATCCATCACAATGCTTTAATACATAAACATGTTTATGAAATCTTAACAAAGTATTCCCAAGTTAAAAGATTGGTAAAAAGAATTTCGTAATTTTGTCACACTTTTAAAGTCACGTTTGTTTATAGAATGTTAACCATCTTTTCCTGATGACTATTTCCTCAAGTGAAGCGAAGCAAGAGAGAATGGATCGTAATTCAATAAGCCATTAATTACTTTTTTTAATTTTATTTGATATATTTTGTGTTCCCTCAGAATAAAACCAAGATTAATTAAAGAAGGACCTAAGAGAAATTCAATTTTAATCGCAAATAAAAACAATTAGTTCTCAAATTTTGCTAAACACTTCCATTTATTACATAATTACATTCTTTAGTTTATTTCTTTCTTAGTTAGTCTTCTATTCTTAGTTAATGTAACTGCAGGAGGAGGTTGGTTTGGTAATCGGCAAAATTTTTCGTCCGCTAAACGGCAATCGCCAAGCTCAGGTAAAGAAACCGGAGAATGATAAGCAGAAATCTTTAATCTAAATAGGGGCGCTGCAGTTTCAGAGAGATAGGTTACCGCAGATAAAAGAGGAAAAAATAACACTCGCGTCCAATAAAATATGACACTAATTAAAAATCTGCTGCTTCCAGTTATTCAGATTGTATTAAATATCTTTCCTTCAGACACTTCAGATGCCAGGAACTAACTGCTTCTCTTTCTCAAATGAGAATTTTTGGTAAGATTAATGGCGCGTCAGATTAAAAACTTAAGGCTTGGTCGTGTCACCAGAAATAGAGTTGCTGGTTAAGAAAAGAGCTTTCAGAGTGACTTAGATTATATCTTGTATTGAACTATAGCGGAAAGCAATTCTTCTGGATCTCCGCTTTAAGAAACAGGATTCGGTATATTTGGGTGGTTCTGAATTCAGCTCTTCGCAACAACAGAGCTATTAATTTGTTTTAGAACTGTTTACATATAAGTGCAAGTATATCACAGCGTGCAAATTCCTTATTTCTTATAGACCCGTCAATGATTCTCAAAGCGGAAGTTTTCGTTTTAGAGAGCCTTCAAAATACGATATTCGCTTTCTCACAGGGAAATAATTGGCCATTTTCTTTCATTTCTGTATCTTTTGCTGCCAAACTGCATAACTTAAGCGATTAATACAACAGTTGTGCGCACGACATCCTTTAATAAAACTGATGTATAACATTGTCATAATAGTTTTCCCAAATTGCTTGTCATCAGCAGCTCTGCTGTATTTCTTTAAGTAATCCATTTGTTTCGTTTTTACATTAATTTCACATAGTTATTAAAATCTTTTACTGAACTCTGGAATACTTGAAACATAATATTTCTATTGAACAATATTCTCTAAAAATCTACAACATGCAAATAGAGACTAAAAACTTTAAAAAAACTTTAACTGTACACCAACAGTACTTCTAAAACCAACAGCTTTAAAGGAAATTTTATTTTGCGAGTAATAAAATTCCAATCAGTTTTGAAAAGTAATAAAATGATTTGATAGACCCATTAAAAATTAAGCATACACTTAACTCTGAATAAATTCGAATCATATATATTTTAGCTATATCAAAATATAAAAGCAATTAATAAACAGTCTTTTAAAGCACATAAAGATGTAATTTATTATTCTAATGTATACCACTGCTGGATTTCTGTGCCCTTTGTTTCCTCCAAGAATTTCTCGTTAAGTCTCTTTGATTGAGAGTCGGAAAAGTGATTTTTCCAATCTCCAACCTTATGAATTCAGACTTTGGCGGTTCCTTTGTAAGTTCTAGAGTTTTCATAAACTCACTCACATAACGTATACCTTCATAATCATTCATAAGAGGTGAACCAGGTTCTATTTCATAAATATCCGATAAATGCTTTTTCATGTACTCAAAGCTGCTTAAATTTAGGATATTGTTCAACACAGTATTATCCTGCTCGACCGTATCGATGTATTCTTTACCAAGGAATCTAGCAAGTTTGATTACCAGGCTCTTAGTATCTTTCTTCATATCTTCATATTTAGTATAAAAGACATTAGGATCATTACGGCGAGGATACCACGACAACAAATGCTCAAAATAATCATTGTCCTCTATTTCTCCACTTATAAAAAGTTCAAAGAAATCATCAAATTCAGCATCCCAATATCCATAGCTTAAATCATTTTTGGTGTGATAGTAGAAAGATACGCAGCAATCTTTTGGATTTCTCGTAACGAAGATATATTTAGATTTAGGCGAGTATGGCACGTGAGTAAAGGAAATATGTGTCTTAAGTGCACCAGGCCTTGGCATTTTAAAGATGCCTTCAGCTCCCATCATATCAAGAAATGGGCATAATCTAAGAAAATCATGTGGATGATCCATTTCCTGTCCTTTACGGAAGATGTACATAACGATGTTTTGCATCCAGGTTGTTCCGCATTTCGGATAAGTTACAATAAAGACGTCATTTGGTGTTGGTTTATAATTCAATACTGTTATACAATTTAAAATAGCAAATGTAATCCCTTAAACACTGTCAAATGATGTAAAAGATAACGCTACTTAAACTAAGTCATTGTGTCTTAATTAAGTCATTGTCGTTGATATCTATTTTATGTGAGTTAGAATTTTGATTTGTAATTGTGTTAATCTGTAGATTAAGACCGTCGTCTCTAAATTATTAAAAAAAATAAGATAGTAAAACACTTTTATATTCGACACTTTTACGAAATACTTATAGGAATCCGAACATAACACTCGTTGTTACGCTATTGGATTATGAAGGATATTATTAAGTAATGACTTATTACTTCTGACTTATTATGTAATTATTAATTACGACTTATTACGTTTTTTTTTTTTTATTTTTTTTTTATTCCGAGGAAACGTTCGTAGAATGCTTAATTCGTAGTTATGTAACGTACCACGAATTCGTAGTTAGTAGCGTTCGTAGAATTATTCTGAATACTATTGGTTTTCTTTACAGACATGCTGTCTTATCGGTTACCGCCTTGATCCCACAAGAGCATTTCTTTTTAATGTAGGGAAGGTGTGTTTCCTCGCCATAGTAGTTGTGTTTCCACGCCATAGTAGCTTTCGGGGAGGTGTGGATGCGGTACCCGGCCAGGCACTGACAAAGTCTGGTTTTTGTCTCTAGGACACTATATTTTTCTATTGATTGTTTATAAAAAAAGAATTAGTATATACATAATGCGAACAATTGGAATACATTAAAAAGATTGAAATTGGTATGATTTTTCTTGGGTCCTAAACCACACACATTGGCATCTTTTGATACTGCCCTTGCACGGGTACTTGTTTGTGTTATTTTCAATTTTGTAATTTGAATGAGAATTGTATGAGCATACTTTGCTCTACCTTACTACTATATCAGCTGGCTTTGTATACATAATAAGCCTTAAATGCAATGTATACATAATAAGCCCGTCCCAGGGGCAGTAGTCTCTTAAATGCTGTTTGACTGTACTTGAATCAAATAAAATGGATTTGTCCTATGTAAAAGTTGATGTTACATGCTTCTTCTTGATTGTAATTTGAATGAGAATTGTCTGAGCATATTTCGCTCTGCTGTATTCAGTATTGTAACTTTGTACTTATAATAAATACGCCTTATTTAGCTATTTGATTGTACTTAACTGAAATCCACTAAATTGATTTATGTAAAATGTTGATGCTATATGCTTGTTGCAACTCAACTCTTGCTGAGATCCGATGGCTGAGTGAAGTCATCTCGAACTATGAACTCTCTCTTAGAGATCGCACGAGAACTCGGAATGGAGAAGTCGCGCGCTGCGTCGTGCCAAATTTAAACCCTTTTCATGATGTACATATTCTGTAACCCGTTTGCGTCTTCATTAAGATATGTTTGCTTAAAGAATGTGTTTATCATTTATGGATTATTCCCGTCAAGATTTTGCTGATAGAGATGCAAAGAGGAGATCAATTCAACCAGTGGCCCTGGCAGAACCCATTGGGATAAGGTAAGCAGTTTTGTTTTATCTTGATTAATTAGTTAGAATTGTAATTAACAATAACGATAAGTAAAATAAATAATAACATTGTGGCGCCATAACGTGGGGCTATTGGGTTGAATTTGAACTGAAATTTAACAGATTTTGCTTAAAGCAAAAAAACATGGATTTAGAAAAATTAAGAAAGAAACGATCTGCTATAAGAGCAGTAGTTACGCGGCTGATAAATAAGATAGAAACAGAAATTGCTAATGAGGGGGATAAAATGTAATTGAAGAAACGGTAATTAGTAAAGAAGATGAACTAATCTTAGCGGATAATGGTATTGAAACTTTAATTGATGTAACAAATTTAGAAGATGAAATAATGTCTAGAGAAGAGTATAAAAGTAAAATTATCGTTTGGAAATTACGCGCAAAAAGATATTTAGATACTAATCCACATAGCGCTAATTCTATTTCATGTGGAACTGTCACTGAATCGCAAAACAAAATTTAACTCCCCAAATTGGCCCTGGAAACATTTTCGGGAAAGGATGTGTGCAGTTGCCCCGGGTTTGGGGCACGATTTAAGACAGCTGTACACGAAGTACACGAAAACGAAAGTCTACATGCAGTAGATAAATTTAACTATTTAAAGTGAATTCTTACTTCTGATGCAGAAACTGCAACACAAGGGTTGACGTTAACAGCGGTGAATTACGAAAAAGCTGTGAAAATACTAAAAGATCGCTTCGGACGCAAAGAACTAATAAGAGATACTCACATGAACAATTTATTAACTCTGACTCCAGTTAAAAGGTCTTGCGATGTGACAGCACTTCGAAAATTATATGATCGTTGTGAAGTACAAATTAGAGGATTAGAATCGTGTAGTATTTTACCGGATTCGTACAGTACCTTATTGTATCCTATATTAATAAAGATGATTCAGAATGATTTAGCACTAGAATTTAATAGGAAATATGAAGATTATAACCAGACAAAAATTACAAATTTGCTAAATTTTCTAAGAAAAGAAATAGAAAGTCGAGAACGTACAGGATTTTAATTAAGCCAACAGATTCTGAAGTCACTGAAAAGAAATCCCCTTATGAAAATAAGCGGCAGTTTCGAGAACGTTTTCGAGACAACGAAAGAAATCGGGATTATAATAAGCGTAGAATTTCTTCAGCGGCAGCGTTAACACATCACTTTCTAATAGCGGTATATTCTGTTTTGAAAATCATACGTCAGAATCATGTCAAAAGACTGTGCCAGAAAAAAAGGACATCATTGATACATTCTGACGAAACGAACGCGTCAGACCAACACCTCCTAACAGAAGGAAGCCAGGACACTGGATTGTGACGTCACAAGTAGTCGTCTGAGTCGAAACTCCGAGAAGGCAAAGAAACGAAATAGGTTACGCGCTAGTGCCGCACTTAACAACATTGCTTTCACTATTTGATATAGATATTTGGGTTGAATTTTATTCAAAGATTCAACACTTTTGTCGTTTATAACGCAAAACAATTAATATTTCGAATTTACGATTTCAATTTTCGATTAATATTTCTCGGATTTTAATATATTAAGAAAATAAATAAATAAGATTTTTATAAATTCTTTGGCCAAAGATAAATGCTAAACATTCATACCTTGTAGGTTATATTCAAAGATAACATAAATAATATTGACCATGATTTAACTAAAGACGTTTACCGTCAAAACTATTTTAAATTATAAAAAATTACTTCACAGAGAAACATTGTGAAATATAAAACAACTTGTTCCTATAAATCTACTAACAAACATATTGTGCATGATGACAGTTGTTATTGGAATATGGTTTAATTTCTATCAAAATATCTACTTCCCTGCTTATTAAAGAATAATTAAATTTAAAAAAAAGGATTGCAAGCGTTCTGTAAAAGATAAGTATTTCCTTAAGATCGTCCTTTTTCTGTAGTTTTAAGTATAATGTTTATGATAAATACGTTTTTGTAAGAAAAAATATCTTACTGTAGCACATAACATAAATATATGATGAAATATATGATTGTTTTAGTATTATAGGCAGAAAAATATTTAGTATTATATACAATGAATAAATTATTTCAAAGTTTAACACGATAAAATTTACGTAAATTAATAATTTTGCTTCTAATTTCTAGGCTAACTAATGAATTATTTACACATCCAAGTTAAACATAGCAGTTAATAAGTTCAAATCAGCAATACTAACTCAAAAAGGAATTTCTGCTTTAATCTCATAATTTAATGTTTTAAGTTGCCATTCGTAATGTTGCACTATATTTTTCTAATATTTATGCAAAAAAAAAAAAAAAAAAAAAAAAAAAGATTTTCCAGATTATCTGCACACAAGTTACTACTTACCACCTCATTTTTCTTCAGACCAGTAATTTGTCTTTAAAAGTAAATATTATAAAAATGCACCAAACTTTAAATATAATATGCTGTGTATCTTGCAAGTTTCAAAGAAATTAATATATTAGAGGTTTGTTTATCAAATAATTCAACACTGCAATTTAAAATTATTACTTAAATCCATAAAATCAATAATATTAGTTGCATATATATACTTAATTGTATTATATTAGTTGTATATCAGAACTTGAAAATGAATTTTCACAAATGAAAAATAATAATTTTTTATTTACAGATCTAAGCAAACAGTCAGAATAACAAAGTAACACTGAAGTTATAGCATACCAGTAACATCTTTTTAAACACACTCCACAAAGTTTTAAAGCAATAAATCTCTGTCCATTTCAAATGAATTTATAATCATAAGATACAATAAAATGATCAGGATAGCACATTTTACCACAATTTAAAACTATTAATTAATACTCAATTCACAATATAAAAGCAGCAGCTATTCAAATTATTGAGGAACTATGATCTCTGAACTAAGATTAAATGAATAATCTTATAATAAGCTAGCTGAATTAATGCAAAAAATCAAAATACGTTTGCATATATGAAAAAAATGAATCAAGTTGACTCAATTTATTTTTAATATATGGAAAACGTTGCAACTATCAAATACACTGTTCATACATAATCTAACACAAATCCATATACTAAACAGCTCTGAACTAATTTTCTCATCATTATGAAGTATATAAATGTAATCCACAGAAACGATTTTAACACATAAAACCAAAATGACAGCTAAATTTAGGAGGACTGTCAGTAATACTCAATTGAATTATAGAAGTGTTCATGAAGAGCATACATTAAAGTTTCATGCAGGATTTTCTATCTGCAACTCAATAATAAGAAACTATGTTTAAGAAAAATCAGCATTATCAGGAAAGAAATATTCTAAAGCTTCAACCTGTTACATTATGCTCTTGACAGAATCAAAAAAGAGCAAAGAGTGAGCACACACATGTTTAAAAATTTTGTGAGATTTGGTTCAACAGACAGACAGCACGTAACAGTTATTGAAATACAGTAAAACCTAAATGTAATATGTTCCTATTTATAAACTGAAACAATTTCCCCCATACAACTCAATGTAAAATGGATTAATTTATTCCTCGACCATACACAGTTAAATATTATAACAGCCCTTTGTACACAATTAAACAGCCATGCAATAAAATTAGTCGCCACTTAAAACACAACACAGATACATGTTACACGACAATAAATTCTGAGCACAGAAATTATTTTTTCAATATTATCACTTTTCAAGTGATCTGAATATGAAACAGTCAATAAATGTCCATATCAACATAATGACTATTTCCCACTATAACAGTAGCACTTATTACAAACATTTCATTTTGTAAGCATGTTGAAACACTCTTTATCATGATTAAACATATTACCAAATGAACTGAATGATATTTATGCAATAAAATTAGTCGCCACTTAAAACACAAGCCAAATTTTAAAATTAACTTGTTGTGATTACAATAGTTACATGTATGTTAATATTTAGTAACAGAAGTCAAGGAGTCCTATGATTTAAATGAGTACTTTGATAACTATATACCAATTACAATGCCATTTTAAAATTAACTTGTCATAATAATAGTTATGTATATGTAAACATTTAGTAACAGAAGTCAGTCAGCCATATGATTTAAACGAGTACTTAGATAACTAAATACCATTTAAAATGCTTTGATTATTAATTAATATAATTGTTTAAGAACTATTAATTTTAAAACTAATTAATTTTAAAACATGTTTACGAGTATAGATTAATTACTAATTCTTAAAGGGAAAACACAAACAATCCTCATTTATTACTACCAACTTCAGAATTTCTGGAGTTGGGTCACTTAAAATGTCATTTAACATAGTTGAATTTTCAGTATGCAGAGATGTATAAAATGTTTATAGATTTGATGTTCTAGGTAATTGATAGCTCATTATACTTTTCTTTTGTCTATAATTTTTCTTCTATTGCTTTCTCTCCTAAACGAGCTTTCATCTTTTCAAACTACATTCTTTATACACATTTTTAATGACATGTAAGATGCACTGTCAGGAAATTGAGTGTAACACATTCTTTTTTGAAACATGGCCGAGAAATTGTTATTTTAATGGGTTTTGCTGATTCCTCATCATACATTTCCATTTTTTGTGCTTCTTCATCCACTCAAAAATGAAAGTCACACACCTATAAAACAAAATATTTTAAATTAACTTGTTGTGATTACAATAGTTACATGTATGTTAATATTTAGTAACAGAAGTCAAGGAGCCCTATGATTTAAATGAGTACTTTGATAACTATATACTACCATTACAAATGCCATTTTAAAATTAACTTTTGTCATAATAATAGTTACGTATATGTAAACATTTAGTAATAAAGTCAGTAAGCCCTATGATTTAAACGAGTACTTAGATAACTAAATACCATTTAAAATGCCGGCAATTTCATTTCAATTACATATAATAATTGTTTAAGTAATTTGTAATGTTTAGAAAGCTCATCATGATGATTACAATTTATTTAGATTTAAAGAAATTTATAACATTGGCAAATAAATTAGGAGTATCAAACACTGAAATGTTGAATATAATCAGTTACTTTAAATACATTGATACCAAACTTATATAAATCAATATGAACATTTTAAAATGAAACCTAATTATTATTTGTTAGCTTTTTGTCTTTGGCACATAAATTGGCTTTTATGTAACTACTACAACGACAATTCTTCCTGTTAAGTGAAATTCTATTTCATTCAGATTTATCTGTACCCAAATAAGAAATAAAAGAAGTTAATATTACAATTTTCATGATTAAAATTATTAGCTTTGAAGAAAAATATTTCTTTGAAGTTATTACAATAAACTTAACGAGACTTAACAATAAACTTCTTGTCAATAAACTAAAATTTAATAACGAAAACAAATACCACAAACTGTATCAATAAAATTAATAAAAAAAACTAGTAAAGACTTAAAAAAACATGAAAAATGCAACAAAATCTGACTTACTTTTTATCCTTAGTAGCCATCTTTGCTTTGCAGACTTCTTGTCTATTTATTTCTACGTTAAAGTTTACTTCGAAGGTTCAAAAGATCTTTTGGATAATTTTCACGACACGTCGTATTTCATCCTACGAAATTATAACATCACGAGAAGAGTTAATATAAAAATTCAGAAGACTCGCCACACGTTCATCGTTCGCAAATACTACGGGGCTTTGAGCTTGTTGGAAGGAGCGAAGTTCGTCAGACGACTGCCTGTGACGTCAGAGCTTCCTCTCGCTTCAGTGTCCTGGCTTCCTTCTATAAGGAGGTGTTGGTCAGACATGAGGCCCGTCCAAGGGGCAGTAGTCTCTTCTGTTTCCGATTGCGTATCAGTAAATAACTCATTTCTTATGACAGTACGAGTTAAAATTATAAACACAGACAATTGGCGCCAGCAAAGCGTTCGCGCCTTGTTTGATTTACGATCGCAGCGAACATTTATTAGGGAGGACATCTGTAAGAAATTAAAACTTCCGGTGATTGGAGAAGAACAAATAAAAATATTCTCTTTCGGTTGCACGACGTCTGAAGCGCAGAATGTTAAAAACAAGTATCGATATGAAATCAAAATAGAAGCATTAATTACTCCTGTCATTAATGGATCACATATTCATTCCCCCAGAAATGAAATAGTTAATCTTATTAAAAGAACAGGGCATACGATGAATGGGAACAAGGGAATAAAATGCGGAAATTTTCTTTGCTGATAGGAGCGGATTTTTATTGGAAAATAGTTACGGGTAAGGTTCACAGACTGTCTAATTCCTTAGTAGCGGTTGAAACAAAATTGGGTTGGACCATTAGTGGAACAGAAAGGAATTACGGAATTTCCTCAACTAATGTGAATACGATGAAGGTTGTCGTTCATACTAATAAAGATACACAGAACGAATCACTGTCTAGTTTGCTAAAGAATCTCTGCGAGCTCGAATCTATGAGGATAAATTATTATTCGGATAAGGAACTCGAATTAGAAGATAATTTAGTTTTCGATAATTTTAAAAGATCTGTGAAATTTGAAAACAATCGTTATATCGTGCGCCTTCCCTGGACCAAAAACGTATTTTATGCCACATCAAGCCGTTATAAGAGAAAACAAGGAAACTACAAAATTCCGTATGATTTTTGACGCTTCGTCACATGCGGAGCATTGTTTGTCATTAAATGACTGT